GCTCACCGGGGTGTTTGGGGCTGCAGGGAGAGCAGTACTGGTTAGCACTGAGGGTCTCCAGAGCCTTTGGTCTCACCACATGGCTAAAACCCCTGTAAACACTGCCTGTGTTTACATGGAGACGCACTGGGAAGCTAATCCAGCTGAACTAGAGGTGATATTTCTAAGGGGATTAGTTAATCTGCCTTTAATCCTTTGTGGACGTTGGTATCCAGGTGAAAATGCCCGTCCTTCCACCTGGGCCTAGTTTATTTGAGCAGACGGAGATTAGGAGCTCTGAGGTGGGCTGTGGGTGTCTGCAGGGGTGGCACGGGATGTGGGGTGGTGCTGAGCTCATGGCTGCCCTGCGATGCTCAGCTTCTTGCCGTTTCTCACAGCTGTGGAGCACGGCGGCTGCACGTTCCAGCTGGTGGAGGAGAACGGGGTCGGGGACGGGAAGTCAGATTTCCTCTCCTTCTCCCCAGAGATGGTGGCGGAACAGTTCACGCTGATGGATGCTGTGAGTACTCACTCAGAAGGTGCTCTGCCCGCCTGCTGCTCCGGGCACAAGCCTGCCTGCTCCCTTGCTCCTGGCTGCCTCTTTTCCCCAAAAAAAAACAAACATCTCCATCCCCTTATCTTCCAGGAGCTGTTTAAGAAAGTGGTGCCTTACCACTGCCTGGGCTGCATCTGGTCGCAGCGAGACAAGAAAGGCAAAGAGCACCTGGCACCCACCATCCGTGCCACGGTCTCGCAGTTCAATAGCGTGGCCAACTGCGTCATCGCCACGTGTCTCGGAGACCGGTCCCTGAAGCCGCAGCAGAGGGCTAAAGTGGTGGAGCGGTGGATCGAAGTGGCTCGGGTAGGACAGCACCATCCTGCTCGCCTCCTGCCCCTGCCCAGAGCTGGGGTTTGGCAGTCTGGGCATTGCAGCAGGTCCCTTGGCTTTGTTTTTTTTTAACATGGGGTCCCTTTGTCTGTCCCCAGGAGTGCCGCCTCCTGAAGAACTTCTCCTCCCTCCGAGCCATCCTCTCGGCTCTGCAGTGCAACGCTGTTCACCGGCTGAAGAAGACCTGGGACGAGGTCCTGCGGTGAGCAGCGCCTGCTGGGGTCCTGCTGGGAGGTCTCAGGGGAGGTTGTGCTGCTGTTGTGGTTCTTTAATGCATGGAGGGGATCACTGCAGCTCTGGCTTTGCCCAGAACCCAGGGATCTAAGGAGGAAATAACAGCAGCATTGCCTGCTTCTCCTTTCCATCCAAAACACCCTGGGATAACCTCAGACAGCAAGGCTTGCTGGAGCTGCGAGCTTTGCTGGGGTCATTTGGGTGAGCAGAAGAGAGCCCGAGGAAGCGTGGCACCGTTGCTGACTTCCCCCTGTGTTTCCCCCGAGCAGGGAGAGCTTCCGCACCTTCCACGAGCTCTCGGAGATCTTCTCTGACGAGAACAACCACTCCCTGAGCCGGGAGCTTCTCATTAAGGTACGGGGAAGTGGGCACCCACATCGCTGTACGTCTGACACGGAGTTAGGCTGATGCTGGCAGAAATCTCCACGTTGCTCCAGCTGCCAGCCCTGGCGGAGCTGCTGGGGCTGCAGGCAGGGGGTTTGGAGCAGGCTGGGCTTTCTGCTTCTCCACCCAAAAGTCGTCATTGCCCGAAGCGTTCAGAGCAATTTAGCCAGCAGAGATAAGCAGTGGGATATGATCCTGTGCACCAGATGACGGCTGCTCCCCAGAGGCAGCTGCGTTTGAGCAGCCTGGTGCAAAGGGCAGAGCTCTCGGGAGGCCTCTTGGTTTAAGGTTGGGCTGTGGGGTCTGTGAAAGGCTGCAGCCCCGGCGTCCTTCCCACAGCTTTCCAGCCTCGCTGCAGATCGGGGCTGAGATCACACAAAACACAAAAGGGAACAAAACATCCCATTGAGGAGCTGTTTATACAGAGGGCTGGAAATGGGAGCAGCCTTTCCTATTCACTGAGGCTCTCCTCCCTGTTTGCCATGGAAAAGCCCAGCCTTGATTTCCTCCTTTTCCCCTCATTCCTCTTAACCTCCACGAGCAAATTCCACCAGTAAAAGGGGGTGTGAACTTTAGCTCCTCTCTTGTAATGGTTTCCCACCCGCACTGATCCCCACCTCTCCCCACCACCCAGGAGGGCACGTCCAAATTCGCCACCTTGGAGATCAACCCCAAGAGGGCTCAGAAGCGGCAGCAGCAGCAGCGAGAGATGGTGAGTGGGGCACGGCCCTTCCCGTGTCCCCTTCCTGGTGGCTCTGTGGGCTGGGCTCAGCTCTTCTCTGACCCCGGCTGTCCCTTGCTGTCCCCCAGGGCGTGATGCAGGGCACCATTCCTTATCTCGGCACCTTCCTCACAGACCTGGTGATGCTCGACACCGCCATGAAAGATTTCCTGGACGTACGTACCTCCGTCCCTATCCTCCAACCCCTCTCCTTCCTCCACCCAGGCATCCCCACAGCCTGGAGTGGAAAATGGGGGCGGTTCCCCGTACATCTCACTCTGCCCCCCTGTGTGTCCTATATCCAACGCTTCCCCCTGTGTCCTGCATCCAGTGCTGCCCCCTGTGCATCCCATACCCAGCGCTGCCCCTGTGCCTCCATTCCCTGGCCGTTCTCGCACTGCCCCTTGGCGGGCACAGCCCGCACTGCAGCGGCTCCAAGCTGGGCAGGCAGAGAGGGCTGGGAGCAATTCTCCTTCCCCTGCTTCCCACTGACCTCTGTTCCTTCTTTTCCAGGGAGGGCTGATCAACTTTGAGAAGAGAAGGAAGGTGAGAGCTTCACCGTGGCATGGGCACAGCTGGGTGGAGGGAGGAGGCTGGCTTTGTGCAAGCCCAGGCTCTGCTGGTCTCTTTGGGGTCGATCTCTCTTTTTCTTTGCTGTGGTGTTCTTCATTTTGGGGAGGGAGATCTCTGTGCACAGGGCTGAGCTTTTTAGGGGTGTGTGTGTGTGCGCTGAGGCTGGTAAACATCCATTCTGACTGCCTCCGTTGGCTGCAGGAGTTTGAAGTCATCGCTCAGATCAAGCTGCTTCAGTCGGCCTGCAACAACTACAGCTTCACGCAGGAGGACCACTTCGTGGACTGGTTCCACAGCCTGGAGCGGCTCAGCGAGGCCGAGAGGTGAGCACGAGCGGGGCCGAGCTGCTGCTGCTGCACGGGGAAGCCCCTGGCTCATCGCCTCCAGCTCTGCAGCCCTCACCTTGCCCCGGCGAGCTGCAACCTTCCTCTCCTCTCCCCCCAGCTACGGGCTGTCGTGTGAGATCGAGCCGCTGTCGGAGTCAGCCAGCAACACGCTGAAGGCCAAGAAGAACACGGGCATCATCAAGCGATGGAGCGAGTGAGTCCGCTCGTCCCGGTGGGATGCGGGGTGGAGGCGGGTGCCAAGGCCGTCCCCACGGTGGCCGCAGTGGTGCTGGGCCATCCTTTCCTCATCCCGCTCCCTTCTCACCCTTCCCCTGTCCCTCCCGGCAGCCGGCAGCCGCCGAGCAGCGAGCCCTGCGCCAGTGGCAGCTCCCACTCCAAGTCCTTCGACCAGCTCAAGTGCGGGCAGTACCTGTGCAGCGGGGATGCCACCGACTCGGTCAGCGTCACCTCTGCCGGCTCCAGCAGCTCGGACGTGGAGGAGATCAACATCAGCTTCATCCCCGAGTCCCCCGACTGCCAGGAGAAGAAGGTACGGGGCAGCTCGTGGGGAGGCAGGCGTGCCCTTCACGTGGGGACAGCCCTCAGCCTGCTTTGGGGCTGGGGGCCTCGGTGTGGCGGGGTCTCACGCCTCCGGTGGCTGTACGTCCCCTGCTGGCGCAGGGCAGTGAGATCCCTCTGGCCTCCCTTCCCCAGCACTCGTACACCCCGTCTGTGGCTGATGGAGAAGCTAAAACCACTGTGTCCTCCGCATCCCCTCTCCTCCCTGCCCTCCAGTTCTGGGAATCCACCTCCCTCTCCTCCCTGGACACGTCGGGCATTGGCTCGGGCTCCAGCAGTGCCTCGTCCTCCTCCGTCTCCTCCACGCCGGTGACGGCCTCCCGCACCCACAAGCGCTCGGTCTCCGGCATCTCCAGCTACTCGTCCCTCTCGCTGCCCCTCTACAACCAGCAGGTCGACGACTGCTGCATCATCCGCGTCAGCCTGGCCGTGGACAATGGCAACATGTACAAGAGCATCCTGGTGAGCAGCAGGGAATTTGGGTGGGGGGGGAGCTCGCCGCGCTTGGACGCGGGCATGTCCCACACTGGGAGGAGACGGAGGCAGGAGGTTTTGTAGCGTTTTGTCCCCTCTTTGGTTAATAATGCTCTGTGCCTGCAGGTCACAAGCCAGGATAAGACCCCGGTGGTTATTCGCAAGGCCATGGCCAAACACAACTTGGACGGGGACCGGCCTGAAGACTACGAGCTCGTTCAGATCATCTCGGAGGAGAGAGGTGCGTACCGGCGTGTGGGAGGCTTTCCAGGCCCTGGCTGTCTCCCCAGCTGACCACACCTCAGCCTGGGGAGCACAGGGGGGAGCAGGGCTGGGAGGTGGCAGCAGGGGGGTGCCAGCCCCCAGGGACTCCTCGCAGCCCTTTTTGGGGTGCCCAACTGACCCCTGTCCTTGGACACTTCTAGAGCTGAAAATCCCCGACAATGCCAACGTCTTCTACGCCATGAACTCGGCCGCCAACTACGACTTCGTGCTGAAGAAGCGGGGTTTCTCCAAGGGGGTGAAGATCAAGCACGGCTCCAGCTCCACCCTGCCCAGGATGAAGCAGAAAGGCCTGAAGATCGCCAAAGGCATCTTCTAGCCTCAGCCCCACTGCCACCCCTCACCGATGGGGCCTTGGGGGCAGGCTGCTCCGGGCCCGGCTGTGGCTGGTCCCCGTGCCACCGGCACGGCGAGGAGCGACCCTCGCCCGCACCGAGAGCCAGGGCGCTTTGGCAACCGGTGGCCTCCGCCTCTCTGCACAAGCTCCTGTTTCAATCAGGTCTTTTTTTTTTTTTTTTTTTTTTTTCCTCTACACAGGAAGGCAGCGGGGGGAAATCTCTCTGTTTTATTATTTTTATTTTTCAAACCTTCCACGGTGCGCCACTCGTCCAGCCACCGGCCTGCCCAGAGCAGGAGCCCGCCTCTCTGCCGTAGGTGCCTTGTGTCCGCGCGAGCCGGGGAGCGGAGGCCTGCAGAGGGGCCGTTTGCAAGGAAGCTGCTCCGGGAGCTTCCCAGCGTTGGTTTTACCTCCACGTCCTTATCCTGGGAGAAGCCGTGGACGAGGAGGCACGCTGGAAAGGATTCAGCCCCGTGCCGGTGCTGGGAGCCCCGGGAAGGGCTGCGTGCGTGCCGCGATGGAGCGGGCGCCTCGTGCTCTCGATGACTGGAAGCCTTCGCGTGGTCTCGCTCCTCTCCCCGATGCAGCTGGACTTCGCCAGCCCGCGTTCAAACCTGCACCAAAGATCAAACGCCAGTGTCTCTTCTGCAGGCGGGGGAAGCTTTGAGCGCCTCCCCGTGCCCCCAGAGCTGCCAGCCTAGCGAGGAAGAGGAGAGTGAATTTCTGTCCAAATCTGTGTAAATAGAGACCCTGGGTCTGCGCAGGTGGGCGAGGAGGCGAGACAGAGCTCGGGGTGCTCTGAGTACCCCGGTGCCGCCACCTGCCCCCCAGAAAGTGCCACTCACCTTGGGCTTTAACCAGACTTTTTCAAACACTGACCATGGGAGAAGCAGCAATGAGACTTCTTTTGTATAAAACGAAAATGTTTACTTTTTTTTTTTTTTTTCAATATTTATTGGTTGTAAATAGAAAAGATGAACTTGTACATTTTACTAACCCAGCCTCCCCCTGCCCTGCAGCCCAGTCCCTCTCCTCTCCCCCCTGCTGTTTTGGGCTGCTGGAAGCAGCAGCCTTGCGCTGTCACGCTCTGAGGCACAGACCGCTCTGGCCTCCCTCTCTCCCTTGTTTCTTTCCCACTAGTTGATCGAGCAGGGGCAGAGATGCTTCTTTTATTGACTGTAGGAAACACTAACCAAAGGGGGGATTTTTTTCTTTTTAAAACTTTTTTTTTTATTATTTTTTTTATGTTTTCTTTGCTCCTGGACCTGCTGGGCCATCTCATTTAAGCACTTCCTCCCACCCCACCCTCTCCTCCCTGTCTGTCCGTGCTGCCGGGCAGGGGCCACGCGTTCCCCGGCTCCAGGAGAGGGGCCTGGGCTGCAGCAACGCTGCGCTCTCATGCTTGGGGGACCAGGGCTGGTGGCAGGAGGTGGTGGTGGGACCTGTAGGGACCCATGGCACCGGGCGGGGAGAGGCTGCTTGCTTCTTGACCAGCGGGGCTGGCACCAGCTCTGCCAGCCCCGTGTCCCCTTAGGGTGGCACGGCCTGGCCCACCGTGCCCACGCTGCACATGATGGGAGCCGCTGGCACCCTGACGCAGAGCCTGCCTCCTGTTTCCCCCCCCTCCCTGCCTGGAGCCTGGTACCAGCACCCCAGGGCCTCCCCTCGGCCCCGTGCCGCTCTGTGCCTGCCAGCTCCTGCCCACCCCGCTGTCACCGTCCCCTTCCTTCCCCTCCTGCCTTTTTCCCTCGGCAGCTCAGCATCACCGGAGGGACTGGCTGTACCATATGTATTTTGTACCACTTCAATGAAGGAGCACACTGCCCAGTGTGACTTGTACACAGCAATGTAATTAGTCTTTGCAATAAAATATCGATGCTCAAACGTCCCTGCCCCAAGGCAGGGGGTGTCCTATCTTCCTTCCCAAAATGCTGTCCCGTTCCTGGAGAAAGGGGAAACAGATCTGACCGTGGATGAGGTGGTGGCTGAGCCTGGGGTTGTACCGTGCGGTACGTGAGTTGAGCTTTGTTTTGGGCTTGAATGAAGAAACAAGGCTTTTTTATTTGCAGACCTAGTTCCTGCTTTCAACTAACCCTGTTCATTTGAGTCTGAGTTGTTGGGCCTGGTACATTTTCCAATAGTATAAATGGGACCTCTACTGTACCGGTTTTACTCCTTTTCATATTAGCAATGGTTTTAAGAGCAACTGCAAGGGTTGGTCCTTATGTTATGGATAGTGGTCTGTTTCACTTTGAGGCATTGTTCCTTTGGAGTTCAAGGGTTCCTTTCCTAGCATGGCCAGCATATTTATTTTCTATGTTATAATTGCACAGACTGCAGTGGAGATTGGTTGGGTGGTGTAACGGCTCTGAGTGTGGGTATTATAGATACAGCCCTGAGGCACAGAATTTCTTTATCTTTTGTTACATAGATTACTTTAAAGCTGAGTTTTTGAAAACTAAAGGATTGTATTGTATAGGCAGAATTTTGTCATTACCTACTAAGGCAGAATTAAGCATCCATGTAACTGCAGTCTTCCCAGACAGAGGAATTTCAGAAACAACTGGAAAATAGGTAAACTCTGGCCTGTTGTTGATAGAAAGCTGGGCTTCAGGTATGTTTCCTGGCATTTTATTCTTGGTGCCTGCTCACACCTGAGCACAGGTAGGTATTCTTACCTAGAAGTAGAGTGCCCACAGCATCTCTCCTTTTTTCCTAGTTCCCTGCTTGCATTGTATTGAGAAAGGTAAATCTGTTGCACAACCACTTGTGCCCCTGGCCTTGCACGTTGCCAGCACCTACACTTTACCTTGGCTGGTTCTCCCCAGGCAGAGTAATACACAGCCCTCCTTACAAAATCATAAAGCTGTAACAATTGCCTCTGTACTTACTGTTGCAGCCCATGCTACCCTGAGGTAGCAGCACAAGGCAAAGCACAGGACTTCCCAGCGAGCTATAGGGTGTGCACCCATAAGGAGCCAGTCCTCATATATCTGATATTAGAATATATATGCAGTAGAGCATATTACCAACCACTAATGTTAAACCTTCCACTTGTGACACTCTGAGGAATGAAAAAGACCCAGACAATGCCAGCAGATCTTTAATTTCTGTGACTGCACGGTAACAATCCAGCCACCAATAGCAGACTAATGGCCAGAGTGGGCAACCTCTACGAACCTGAAGCTCTGCCACATTGCCCTCTTCTTGCAGTCTTTGTTAATTCTGGCGAAGTCAAAATGGAATGGAGAAGCGTGTTAGCTAGTAAGGACAACATACGCTACATCCGGCAGAAGGGAACTATGCACTGCCAGGAAGTGTTTTTGTTTGGACTCTGGTCTCTTTTCTTGGCAGCCTGTTGAGATGCTACATTAAATGCCATTTGGAGGCCAGCAAGAAATCTATATCCCCTGTCAATGTTTTGAGGGCTTATTATCCAGCAATTATGGAAATGTGGGCAATGCCTCCCGAACATCCAAAATGACAGCCATCAGCAGGTACCACAGTCAGTACAGGTAGGTAGTTGGCAACTTAGTGCAAGTTCTGGTTTCCCACATCCTGTGTATGATTGCTGAGCCCTCAGCACTCAAGGAACAAGAGCCAAGAATATTCTGTCCAACAGCAGCAAGACTACTCACCGAGTTCACACATAGTCCAGAATTTCTGTTTCCATTTCATTTTCACTCCCGTCAGAAGGCTTGAAGTCCTCTTCCTCCTCCTCCTCATCATCCTCATCTTCTCCAGACTCATATGCCAGCTGCTCTTTGCCATCTTCATTGCTTGTTGGACTTGAGAAAAGAGCTTCATTGGGAAGAAAGAGAGGAAGACATTCTGATGCATCTCAGTGCAACGTGGGAGAATATACAGTAGAGTTTGTAAAACAAAAAGAGAAAGGCAGAAAAAATCTGAAGATCACAGCTAAGGTTGCACATATTAATAGAATTTTTAAAAAAGGAAAAAAGCAATGTTTTCACACCCCTGGAATGCTCTTAGAACAGCAGCAGATCTGCAGTGTCATGTCTCATCTCCTATCTGATTCTGAGCTAATTCACTGGGATATTGATTTGGCCCAGCAAAAATAATTTCCTCGCTTCCTGTTTGTAAGATATATGCCATCAATAAAAAGGAAAAAAAAAATCTTAATGTCACCAAGAGATACATCAGTAAGGATGATATCTTGGCTATCGCTGGGCAAAGACATTTAAAACTTGAAAGCTACAATACAGGAAAGATTAAAAAGAAATTCTTTACTCCTGGCTATTCCTCCAACCCACATTCACATGCAGGACAACAGCTGCAGCTCGTACACTGTGATGCACTAAAGCCCAGGGAGCACCAGGTGTAAAAGAGCGCTTAATTCTGCACAGAGGCAGCAAATAAAGCAACGCTGCTTCCCCAGCACTGATTGCAATATCCTGATTCAGTGCACAACATCTCAACGTCATCAGGTAGGTAGTACTACACTGCTCGGCACTCTGAGGTTCAGAAACATCCTTACCAGGTCTAGTGGATCTGATGATCTGCTTTATCATCAGGGACATGCTATCACGCAGATCATCACTCGTCTTCGGAAGGCACCACCCATCCCGCTCTGTGCATTCTGTCTCTGCACCATCATTCCGATGGATGATTTTCTGTAGGCTAAAAAGGAGTAAAAAGGGGGTGAAATATTAGTCTTCTACAGTCAAATGCAGGCTTCAAATAAGACAGACTGTGGCTTACTTCAGTTTCATTGAGCTGGACTAGCATATTTGGTTATTTACCTAGCTGTTGTATGAGAAAGGAATAAAAGTCTGTTCTATTTTTATTAAGAAACTAAACACCTCTTTTTTTGCTGGTCAAGGAGAGCAAGTGTAATGGACTGGATATAAACAACAGGCTTTGAAATCTAGTTCTAACATGACTCAGCTGAAAGGGTGCCATACCTTTCCACATTCAAGTCACAGAGTTGGTAGAACATCTGCCGGTAAGGGGGTAAGGCTCCTTCTCGGAAAATGTAGATGGATTCCTAAGAAGAGCAAAGATAGCAAGGATTTAATGCGCGTTTTGTGGTGTAATAGGGCAACCCTGACACAAGGCATTTCCTACACAACTCTGTTCCAAGGCAATATCCAAGCTGCAGCTCTAGCTGTAGCTTGTTACTACGTAACAGCAGATCAGAGGTTTTGTTCTAGCAAAAAGGAGGAAAAAAATAGACTCCTGTTTAAATATTTATTTGGCCTTGCTGGATTGTGCAAGATGATAAACACACGGCAATGTTTTGCACTTTGCTGCCCATAAAGTTCTCCAACTTTATAAACTGAAACAAAACGCTCATCGTGTTTAAGACTGGGGTAAGACTACAATTCCCATCTTGCAGTGTGTAAGAAATACATTCAGTGAGCAGCAGATGAAGTTCTGGAGGGACATGTTCAGCTAGCAGCTTCCCAGGTAAGCTTTTACCCATCAACTCAGGTCTCAAAGGGAAATCTGTGCCCCTAATGACTTACAAAATAGGAAACATTTCCTTTTTACGATACTATTTCAAGATTCTGGTAAAAGAGAGTAATGCTTACCTTCAGCTTATACCTGCTGGAGGCAGACTTTTTTGCACTGGATGAACCAGAAGTACCAAGTCCCTGCTTCAGATCATGCACGCTGACTGTATGACTTACTGAAAGGCAACAGAGGCATGATTAGGGACATATTTCACTGTGGCATTGTACTGTTGCTTCTCTATGTTGATGCAACTTTGCCGATCAGCAAAAAACAGCAACCCAGCAAGTGAACTGCTGATTCTTCAGAGATGTTACTGGACAGCAATTCAGTCTCCAGAAAGGTGGTGAGTTTGGCTGTGTTCCTTCCACAGCACCTTTGTTGATACTTTTAATCTTTTCTACTTTCCTTTGACAAAGAAACAAACCAAAACAAACAAAAAACCCTCCCCTCCTAATCTGTGCTGCACTATCACCAAACACAAGGGCATGCTGAGTTCTCACAATGTTGCTTACGGATCTCTCTTCTGTCTGGCTCAGCCAGACATGTATCAAAGCTTCTCCCAACACTGTCCAGCAGGAGACTCTCCTGCTGGTTTTAACAACAGCATAACATTACAAATAGGGAAGGAGTGCCAATTTTGGCTCAGCTGGAATGCAGGAAGACTTTTCACTACCTGAGACTAAGATGGAGTAACCCAAAGAAAAAGCAGAGCCAGACATCCCATCTGCTGGCACAGCTTACCTGGCTTTTTGACAGTGATGGGCAGACTGTAGTTATATGTGCTGCGTTTTGCTTTCACTGGCATATCGTTAGGCGCGTAACCTAGAGGTGAGAAAAGAAAACCAAGAATGAACTGAAGGTAAGCATTCTGCAGAGTACCACTAGCTCCGTAATAGAAGTGCTGGACTAGGGTGTGAAATGATCTTTGGGACACGCTGAATTTGCGAGATGGGGAGAGGAGAGGTGTCACATAAACAAAAACCGTTTTGGTTGGAAAGAGGGATCTATAAGATCTGATCATGACTGGATGTCAGCTCTCTTGTGGACGTATTACATGACCCCAGAAGGTCCTTTCCTTCATCTTTCCCTCTACAAAGTCACAGTGCAAGGGAACCTTTGTCCTAAAGGCTCAGACCTGGTGCCCTGCAGGTTGAGTTCACCAAGGGAAAGCTACCATGGAAGCAACAGAATCTACGGAAATAGAATAGAATTTTCCATAAAGTTCCATAGAATTCCAGAAAATTCCATAGAGTTTTCTATGGAAAGTCAGCCAGCTGTTCCTGGGGTTTGGGATGTGCCAAATGAGGGTAGAAATACTGCATGGTATACAATAAGGTTTTAAAGGAGTTTATAAAAGATGTCCTTTTCATCAAAGCAGATACAGCAAAAAAGTTTGAAAACAAATGAAAAGAACTACAAGGATTAACCAGGAAGCAAAGAGGGTGCCTGTGGGTTGGGCCCTTTTACCGTATTTCATTCCGCAGCGAATTCGGAAGTCCAGTACTTGATAAATCTTTGCTTCAGGGTGTTTTCTGGGGTCATACCCAAACCTAACCCATAAGCTCCTCCAGGGACCTGTTAGCTGTGTAAACACACAGGGGTAGATGGTTACAACAAATAGTTGTGCTGCAGAGGCTCTTAGAAAATTCTAGTTATTTCCTGCATTGTCCAAATATTTCTTTTACTAACTCCTTCCTTGCTTTTCACAACCAGTATTTACGTACTGAAACATGGGCAATCTATGCACTGAAGGCCAAATATATGTGTGCCTTTAAAAATCAACTTGCAAGATCACAAGAAAATCTGTTTGGAAAAAATCTGATACCACTGCCAGGTGGACAATCCGTTTGAATGTGTGACCAAATTGCCTTCCCTTTTTCTCTTTACATGAAGCTTGCAGCCTCAGCCAGGACCACGGGCAGATGCCCAGACTTACCATGTAATAGGCCAGGTACGGCAACAGCAGTTTCAGCTTGTCTGGGTGGACGTTGACATTGGCTTTTACTGCATTCCGGGACCAGACTGGACGGACTTCAAAGAGCTAAAATAATACATCATCACTTCAGGTATGTGCCCCTCACTCACTTTCCTGACATGACATTGTCATACCTTGACAAATAGTTATCATATCCGCCATTTAAGAACTGCAGCTGTTCAGGACGCCAAATATTCTGGTATCTCTATCAGAATATACCAGCACCCTTGTTCTCTGATAGATTAGAGAACAGAAAAAGCAAATGCATGTTTGGCTACAGTCACAAAGGACAGCTGGTGTCCAATGGGAACTGAACCTGAAAGCCTGGCTTCAGAAGCCTGGCTTCTGAATGGGCCCTTATCTTGAACAAGGTTATAAACAGGAAATTTCATGTCACAATGAGAAAACCATAAGAGAATCCACCAAATAGTTGAGATCCCAACAGTTTTCTGGGAAGTCAAAGAAAATGGCTGCATGCAGTCCTTTAAGACACAGCATGCCACTGTAGAGTGCTCAGCCAAACTCAGGGACGCGACACATACCTTCCTCAGCTCTTCCTCCACCTTTCTATCCACAGCATTGGTGCACACTTTCTTCCAGGTCTGTACAGCAGCATCCAGGGGTTTTGTTGGGACTTCTTCCTCGTCAAAGTTCAAAAAGATAGCGTTGTGTGGGCGACGGGCCCTGCTGAGGCCAATGAGGTTCTCACCAGACACCTGGGGGTTGTTGTACCCATCCCTAGGAAACAAGGCAAAGGACTGTGTTTGCTTTCTGCCAGTGGCATGCGCAGACATGTGGCTTTCCTAGGAACACATAAAAATGTAGCATGTTTTTTTGATTTTTGATGTGAAGGGATATAGCCCTGTAAGGAGTAGGTCTTATTTTGTCCCTCAGCTCCCCAGGGAGCACACTGGTAACTGTAAAGGACTCACCACTGAGGAAAGGTCATTTCAAGTTTTAAAAACAAGCGGCTAAACTACCTCTAGTTGCCTGTTGAAGGAGATCCCCTGCACTATCTGATAGAAACCATTCAGATAGTTGATAACTAATTTGCACAAAATATATTTGCTGCACAACAGGCTTCACACTCTGCTGTACTGGAGTTAGTGGATATCAGTAGAGTACGTTGACAAAGTAAAATGGAAACGCAGGTATTAAGATAAGTTTGCTTTGCTAAGTGTTAATGAAGGACTGCAGTGAGAAAATGAAAGATGTTTCTTGTGGGAGACCTTGCAGATTGTTCTCCTGGCAAAAGTAACCTGGGGCCAGGAGGGAACAGGTCCAATGAACATAGTCACAGGACGCATGGCATTGACTCTCCATACTCTGCACTCAGCTCCAGCCCCCTGGAAGCAAGCAGAAAGCCACCCTCATGCATCCTACACCGCATGTGATGTCCTGCATGGAGCAGTGATCTTCTATTGAAGCATTCAGCAGCTGATACTGATGAAATACATTAACAATATATTTAATGCTGCCATGATGCTTCAAGAGCACAGTTCCTATAACAACACTGAAGTCAGAATGCATTGGATGCATCTTGTGTGATGAAAAATGAAACTTGAACTTTAAAACCTGTCTGTTTTAAGTGTATATCAATCCAACAAAATGTTTCGTATTTCTTTCCTTTCAAGAACCAACATGGACTATTTATCAGGAGAAAAGGCACTAACCGGTGTTGGGTATCTGGCCGATAAAAATAGTCAACAGGAGTGTCTAGACGTGAGAAAATTGGTGGAGGGATGTAGAGAGGTAATTCTCTATTGAAAAACTCTTCTTTCTCTGGTTTGAGCATTAGGACTTTGTCATACATGGAGGTTTGTTTGCCATCAGGACCAGAGTGCATTGCCAGGTACTGGAAATCAGACATTCCTGTGAGAAGGAAACATTAGGACACCGTGAAATCATAGCAAAGATAACACTTCTCACAACACTCAGCTTTCAGGAGCAATTGTCTGATAAGTCCATGTGAAGGTTTATACAGAAAGGAGGCTGTAACAACAGACAACTTGCTTTTCTTTGCAGTCTTAAATTCCTCAGGGGAAACATTTCCCTTTCCCATCAGCCCTTCCCATCAACCTTTAAGCCCTGCGGACCCAAACACAGGTATTACCTTGAAATTTGTAAACGGTGGTGACAATCCCAACGATTTCCATTTCGAAGTGGACTTCTGGCTGGGCTGGCTCTTCTGTGTCCACCTGAGTCTTCCTCCTCGTGGTCCTCCTCCTCACCTTCAGCAGCATGGTGGAGGTGGGGAAGCGGTTGGCGCACACGGGGTGGCAGTAAGGGTCCTTGGGGCGGAAACACAGCTCCAGCCTTTTGGCAGGGTCGGCGTAGATCTGTGTGGGGGAGGACAGGGCCCGTCTCTGTCAGCAGCACCAGGGCTGGCGGCTCCCTGCAGCACCCAAGGGTGCCCCCACCCCATTTGACACCTCCCATCCCACCTCCCTCACCCGGCTGCGGCCCAGGCGAGCCGCATCACCCCGAAACCTCGAGACAAACCACCCCTAAACCTCAACAGCCCACAAATGAGGTGATCCCAACAGGGGGACCCCAACGAGGGGATCCCAACGCCAGCCCCCCATTCACCCCCACCCTCCCCAAAGCCTCGGACCGCGCTCCCCAGCAACCCCTCACCCTCGACACTCCTTCCTCTCCTCCCAGGGTCCGCAGCACGGCTCCGACATCCCGCACCAGCCCCGGGTACTCCACGGACACCATGCGCGGCGTGCGGGGCACCCGCACCACAGCCGAGCCCCGCTCCCCCCAGCACCTCCCGCCCGCCGCCATCTCCCCGGCCCGCCCGGCAGCCGCCCGGCGCCTCGCCGCGGCCTCAGCGCGATGGTTCCGCGCCTCCAAGGTTCCCAGCAGGGCCAGGGAGGTGTTTTCCCCCTCTGCCCTGCTCTGCTGAGGCCGCGCCTCGAGTGCTGGGTTCAGTTTTGGGTCCCTCACGACAAGGATATGGAGGTGCTGTGGTGTGTCCAGAGCAGGGATGTGAAGCGGGTGAGGGGTCTGGAAAGAAGTCTGTGAGGGGCGGCTGAGGGAGCTGGGGGTGTTTGGTCTGGAGAAGGGGAGGCATCCTAAATCCAGCTCTGCCTCCTGGGCATATACATTCAGTGTATACACCCTGTGCATCCCATATCCAGCACTGCCCCTGTGCCTCCATTCCCTGGCTGCTCTCGCATTGGCGCTGCAGCAGCTCCAAGCCAGGCAGGCAGAGGGCTGGGAGCAATTCTCTTTCCCCTGTTTCGCACCGAGCTCTGGGGTCTCCTTTTCCAAGACTGATCAACACCCGCAGTGGTGTCAAGTCGGGAATCATTCCAGGCACAAATCCTGGCACAAATCCTTCCTTCCTGAGCTTTATCTCCTTTGCCAAGCGGACTCGTCACCATAAACCCATGCAGAATAACCCCTGTGTTTCTTTTCTGGTTTTTAATAGTGAACTCAGCAACGATTCACTAAGAAGTTTGTGTTGTATACATTACAGCTGCAGTTATCTACGAGTTGTTTGTTATTACCGTGGATGATTGTAAGGTGGCAGCATCCGAAGGCACAGATCAGGATTGGGTCCGTCCTGTCAGGATTGGGTCCGTCCTGCTACGGATCACGCAGGCAACCAGGAAAAACAATTCCTGAGCCAAAAAGCTGGCAAAGCAGACCAAGCTATGGCACTGATGCATCAGCAGCTTAACCGAGCTATTGCTGTGTCAGGGGAAAATGCTTTGCCCAGGGGCTGGATGTTGCTCCCTGCCTGACTGTAATGCTAGAGACAAAATCATGTCACGACAAAGACATGGAGAAGCTGAAATCACTCAGTTACAAGCAAGCTTTTAATGAACTAAGTCTGTCTTTACATGGTGTTTTTCCTTAGTTTCTCAGCAACTCCACAGTCTACGGGGTGGTGGCAACCTGTGGCAGTTTCAGATAGACAGCGTTCCAGTAGTTCACGAATGGGGCTCTCAGGTTCTGCTTCACGGAATCGTAGTTTAAGTTGTTGTTGATATCCAGGTAGTAACCACCCTCTGTGGTGTAGGGCACCCAGGTAACGGGCACGTCTGAATACCCTGTGTTGGGATCACTGGGAAAAAAGAGATAGAAGTTCTGTTTTATGAGGGCAGCTTGTGGATGTAGCAAGGTTTGTGTTGTCTGGGGATCCTGCCTGTGCTCACGTGAGGCTTTAAGTGAGTGCAATGAAAGAGTTTGACATTGAGACAAGTGATAATAATTCTACCTCCTAGGAGCAACTTGCTGATGTGTATTCTCCTGCTTTGGTCCCCCCAGCATCTGTCCTGGCTGCATGCAGCAGCTTAACTACTGCCTGAACTCCAAAGTTCAGAAACAAGCTTCAACATTAAGTTTAAGCAGAGAGCACAGGTTCTGAAAATGCTTCTGCTGTCCCTGGGTGTTCTCTGGATGAGGAGGGCCCAGAGCAAACTCCACCACTGGGAGACATAGAACAAGGCTTGAGATGGAAGCATAGACAGCGGGCACCCTGCTTTTGAGAACTGCTTCTGAAAAGTTGATAGGCAACAGCAGCAGGTTGGAGTGCTGTAGCAAGCCCCACGTGTGGAACCAGAATCACTTACCCTGTCCTGGCAAAGTTGGTCCAATAAGCAATCATGGCACCTGAGACAGTCCTGTGCTTGGGCAGGTAGCCTAGAGGGGTGGCAAAGGGTTTCCCAAACACGTACTGCAGGTCATCAGCGTGGTCTGCTCCTACCCAGCTTGGGTAGACGGGCATCCGAGATGGCTGGGAGAACACATAGCTGTATGTCTTGCCACTCCTGGGGAAATAAAATAGACTTGATAAGAGCTGAAAAGGGGGTGCAGATTCACAGCTGTGCTCCAAACATCAGCCAGACATTCAGCCTTCTAAGATGCTCGTGTGCTTGGAATTGTCTAAGAATTGCTTTCAGGAGATAACATTCTTCTATCTGGTAATTTTTAAGTTGCACTTCTGATTGTCACTCTAACCCTCATATCATCCAGCTGGTGTGTCTCATGGATTTGACCAGTGCCAGGATGAAGCTGGGTGTTTTTGAGATGCAAAAACTTGTTTTAAAGGCAATTTAAAACTGTTTCTCATCATGACTCCTTTATAGCATTAGTGAAGTAATGTTTGTACAAGCCACATGTAGGTGGCTCCTTCAATTTCAGCCCTCTTCAACAGCTCCTCAGCCCCTTGTGCCGGGAGTGCAGCATTTCAGGCCCCCCACCTCAGTCTTTGGGCTGCTGCCATCCCTGGGCTGCTCACCGGGCATTCTGCAGGTGCAGATTCAGTGCCCACTGCGTGGGAATCAGGAAAATGTAGTCAGTAGCCAGGTCCACCACTGTCCTCTTCATCACTTCCTGATCTGGCTTGTCGCCCCACAGCTCGGTGTAGATATTGTACGTGAGGTTGGCTCCTCTTTCCCCCCTGTCCGCAGTGAGTCCTTTGACCAAATCATAGACGTCGCTCCTGAAAAGACAAGATTTCCACCAATTATGGACCAGCAGCTTGAGGCGGGGCATGGGAACTGATCCCAGCTCCCTTTGACGTTCACATCTAACCCTGTGGTCAGCAGCTGTTTGGAGGAATAAAAGCCAGGGATTTCAGCCCAGCTCTTACGGGTAGGGCACGTGCTCCACAACTTTCTCAGCAGAGCAGCTTGAGGCCAAATGGGACACAAGCTCCTTTAGTCCTGAAAAAGGAGTCTTAGAGGATAGGCACCCAGCATTTTTTTGTTGTACCTGCTCTGCACAGAAGAACAGCAGGGCTGCCAAGCCTATCGCTCACTACCACTGAGTTCAGGAGCACCTTAGAGATATCTGGGGAGGTTTCCCCACTAACAAGTCCTTTCTCTTGAAGACTCTGGACTTGGCAACATATCTGTTAGACACCCCAGCTTGGAGTGACAGCCTGTTTTGAAGCTAGTGCCTTCTCCAGTGAGGTCTAAGTCCTCGGTGTGTGTGGGGGGATAATTAAAGATAAAGTTCCTTTCAGTAAGGGTTTTAAGAAAGTCCTTTTCTTACGCAGTGATTTTCACCAGTGGGCGGTTGATAGCAGGCATATCGATGCCAGCAAAGAAGTGTCCGTCCATGTTGTTGACCCCAGCGATGTAGTCGATGTCAGCAGCGTTGGCAAAGAGTTTCTCTGGTATGTCTGGGAGGAAGTCTCCATCGACGACAGGCGTGATGGCAAGCGTATGAACCAGGGGACCTGCAGCAGGAGACAAAACCAGAATGTGTTAGGAGCACAGCAAGGCAGATGCGTGGCCTGGCATATGCCAGTGCTTGAGGAATTGTAGAAAGAACAGTCTGGGGGGAATGAGAGCTTGGGGGGTGACTTCAGCATGGGTAGGATGCCACCGAGGGGCAGGGTGACCGTAGGATCTTGTTCAGTAAACCTCTTCCTGGAGGTGGAGGTGAAAAGCAAGAGATTTGCCTGCCAGGTGTTGGCAGGCAATATCAACAATTCTTTTCCATCTTCCCCCAGTCTGCTCCCCAAAAGCCCAGCCAAAGTTTGGGAAGAGCAGAACTTCTCCTCCCCAGCCCATCTGGCTGGTCTGGCTCACACCTGTGCAGCAGCACAGCAGCGGTTCTGCCACTGTCTGCTCTGAGCAGGGCTGAGTGCTGGGGCTGCTTGCTAGGACCACAAGTAATAGCCCCCAGCAAGCGGAGGGAATTTCTTGGGAAGGAAACCACCACAGGCAGCAGAAGTGCAGACGTTCTCCACCTGCCATGAGCCCAGCAGATCCTACACAACACCCAGTGGCTCCAGGGAAGGTAGGAGGGTGTGCAGTCAATTATTTTTTTTGTTTTTAAGCTGTGTTCTGGAATTGCTGCTTTCACAAAACAGAAAGTGCAGACCAGAAGCGGAGGACCCAGCACGGGCTGCAGGACTTACTGTTCAGGTTGACGAGCTGCAGGTGGTAGGCCAGCGTCACGGCTTTGGGGTCGCTGACACGCAGGCAGTTGGCCAAGGCTGTGGTGTTGCTTATGGGGCAGCCCACTTCTTGTCCAACCTGCAGAAGGAGAGAGAGAAGAACCTCATGGCATTACCCTCAGAAGTCAGGCTTCATCCCCAGCTCCGCAGAGAAGAGGTTGGTGTTATCTCAAAGAATTCATGTTTGGCTGCATGGCTCCCCTGGGTCCCTTGCTTGTTATACTCTTTACAAAATGCCATTTTTGTTTGTTCCCTCGAGCAAGACTTCAGCTTCAGGATTGCTGCCCAGGGTGGCTGTGATCCAGCCAGCCCAGGTAGGTGTGTGGGGTCCCCAACTGTCCTGTGTGCCAGCTGGGTCCCAACCCGCACGTTACCTTTTTAGCCCAGTAGAGTGGGTCCTTCTGGATGGCCCAGCTGCACAGGCTGACGCCGCTCTGGCTGATGGCTCTCTTGAACAGGCCCGCATTCTTCGGAGACAGTATCTGCAGCACAAAATAGAATCAGTCGATTTCAGTAATGAATTCCTGAAGAGACGATTGCCTGCCAGAGCTGGCTGATCCCCCACACAGCTTGTGCACGAGGCCAGGGAAGCTGCCAGCTCTTGTGACACTGAACAGGCTCAGTAGTTAAAAGGTGATATGGGGAAAAGGGGGAAAGAGGAGCAGGGGGACGTGGCAACTAACAGCTGTTTCACCAGAGATCCCCAAAGTGAGGACAAGTGCCTGCAGTGGGGCAGCTGATTAAGGTGAAGAAGGAGGAGTAGCTACACGACAGAGGCTGAGCCCTGCTGTCCCCAGGCAGGAGAGGATGCTGATCAGGTGAAGGAAAGCTGCAGAAGGGACTGGCTATCCCATTTACAGGCAAGAGACGTGGCTGCAGTGGAGGCTGACAAGGACAACAGACCTGCAGGGAGACACTGGTGCCACCAGCTGACTCTCCGAAGATGGTGATGTTGTCTGGGTCACCCCCAAAGGCCTTGATATTCCTCTTCACCCAGGCAATAGCCATGTGCTGGTCCTTCAGCCCGTAGTTCCCTGAGCAACAGAGGGCACCCGCCGTTGGGTCGGGGCACAGCCAAAGCCGATAAGGTGGGGTCCTGTGGCAGGATCCCCTAAAAGAGAGCAACTCGGGTACCTGGCATGTTTGAGTCTCCAGTGCTCAGGAAGCCCAGGGGCCCCACGCGGTAGTTCAGGGTCACCACGATCACGTTGCCCCGCACGGCGATCTCCTCGCCATCGTAGAGGTAATTGTCGAGGAAATTGGCTCCCTGCCCCCCTCCGACAAGGAAGGCGCCGCCGTAGATCCACACCATCACTGGCAAGTTGGTTGAGACTGGGAGAGGAGGAGGACAAGCGGTGTGAACCACGACGTAGCCAGAGCCAACCCTAATGCCCACTTGGGCATTACAGACCTCCTGGGGCTGGTGCAAATTCCCCTGCCTTCCTTGTCACCTCACCCTCACCATAGGCAAAGTGTTCCTAGGACCTTTCCTATGGGCTGACAAAGCTGGGACAGAGATGCGAACTGGGAGAAAGATCATCCCAAACAAATTCCTTTCTTTCCTTGACCAGAAAAGGACTTTTGTATCATTCCTAGGGTCGTAGGACACACATTTGTCCAGAAAGGGATGTCTTCCCTTCAAGGGTGTGGTACTTTGCAATATGCTATGGCCAAAAACATCTCTGCTCTGTAGAAGTGACTGAAACTCCCAACCCGCTGCAGGTGAGGAACACTGCCTGACACTGCTCCTACCCTTCCCACTGCTTCTGCAGCTGCCCACCATAGGAACATAGCTGCTGAGAGATGCTCCAAAACCGTTTGTCCGCAGAAAGCAACTGAGAATCTCCTCCCCAGGTCTCTGCCAAGCACATACCTTGTTTCTTCCCTTGAGGGATCCAGATATTCAGGTAGAGGCAGTCTTCTTTCCCTCGGACATCATTTTGCGTCAGTGTCATCTGCATGCAGCGGTTTTTGAAGTCTTTTGCCTTCAGCGTTCCTAAGAGGAGAAAGAGAATACACCAGGTCCTAGATAGAGCTGTCAGCTCTGTCTTTTGGTTGCAAGCTGTCCATCCATCCATCCATCCTTCCTCACCTCCGTAAGTCCAGCACGGAGGCAGCAAAGCCTCCCCAGCCACCGTGACTGGCCCAAGGGAGTGACAACGGGGTGCCCTTTCCTGTGTGAACTAGCTCTGGACAGCCAGGGCATGAGAAGGAGAAATTCAGGTGCCATGCTTTGGATTTGTTACTTCAGGTGGTCACTTAGGAGCACTTAGATGCAGACTCTCATACCTGCCCCGAGACTCAGCTTTGTCTTGGCATTGCATAGGGCACTGTTAGTGCAGTACCTTCTACCTAACTCTAATGGACTAAGGAGACAAAAGTTGGAAACAAAACAAACCCAAAGGCATCCAAAGGCTGGATCTTACCATCCCATCCAGGATGAGGTTGGGGATCTTCCAGAGTCTTTGGGGGGGCAGCAAAGGGGATCCCTCTGAAGATGTCGATGTAGTCCCCGAAGAGTCCCAGCCGTTTATTCTCGCCTTCCACGAAACCTCCCTCGGTGTGCACCACACCCAGCTAAATGTGGCACCATTGAGAAGAGGGAAAAGTGAATCCATTGCAGTCCTTCGTGGCTCAGGCTCCTCGTGATGCCAGCAACCACAGCGTACCCTGGCTGGAGGGTCCCCACACGTGGGCTGACTCGCAGCCTCCCTTCACCAACCATCCCTTTGGTTCCTCGTGGAAGGCCCACGGGTTGCTGCTGCTGGAGATGTGCCCGTGCAGACATCCTGCAAGCTGCCCGTTGGAGCAGACAGGCAGCAGCAATTTCCCTGCTCTTCCATGCACACACCGTAGAAGGTGAGAACCTGCAGCCTGAAGATGTAAACCAGGCTGGACCTGCTACAGAACTGCGCAGGGAACTTTCAGAAGAATGTCACTGAGAGCCTTTGCCATGTTTAGGGCAGGAAAATACCCTGCCACTGCTGTCACTGTTTGGGCTTCAGGGTAGACACAGCAGGATTTTGCTCATTCAGGCGGGAACAGGCAAAAAGTTTTCCAAGTTATAAGAAATGCCTCTGTACTTACCGTTGCAGCCCATGCTACCCCAAGGTAGCAGCACAAGGCAAGACACAGGATCCCCCAGCGAGCCATGGTTCCTGCACCCGAGGAGCCAGTCCCCACCAGAGGTTTACGTATGTATATATAGCTAGGAGTGCGGCTATGTGTCAATGCCTTGACCCAGTTTTTACTCTAAGTTGCGTTGCAGGAGCCCCAGCAAACTTGTCCTTCAGTAGGCTGAAGCCAAACCATGGCTGAGGTAGAGACTGGCGTCACTGTGTGAGAGCCCTGCAGATGTTGCCTTTGTGGGATGAAGGCCGAATGTAAGGAAATATCTCAATCTAACAAAAAACAGGGAACGTAATGCTGAAGCCTTGAGAATCCTCACACAAGTGCAGGAGATTGAAATTATATTAAACTGTGCACTAGAGCATATTACCAACCACTACTGATAAACCTTCCACTTGTAACACTCTGAGGAATGAAAAAGACCCAGACAATGCCAGCAGATCTTTAATTTCTGTAACTGCACAGTACCAATCCAGCCAGCGATAGCAGACTAATGGCCAGAGTGGGCAACCTCTACGAACCTGAAGCTCTCCCACATTGCCTTCTTCTTGCAGTCTTTGTTAATTCTGGCGAAGTCAAAATGGAATGGAGAAGCGTGTTAGCTAGTAAGGACAACATACGCTACATCCGGCAGAAGGGAACTATGCACTGCCAGGAAGTGTTTTTGTCCTGCTGGCTTTATTTCCAGGATGACGGGCTAGGCTTGATGCTGAAGTCATTGCACAGAATTTTAATTCATGTGGGATAAGGAAAAGGGCACCTTGTCTGTTTTCCACATGTCCATCAATGCAGACAGGGTGTACTTCTCACGGATGGAGAGATTTGAGAATGCAATTTTGCCTATTTTCAGGTGTGTTTCCAGCTGATTTTGATTCTGGTCTCTACTGTGTGTTTGACCGAGCTGCAAAGCAGACTGGCACCAATGGAGCTAACAGTTACTGAACCATCCACGGCTGTAGCTTCTGTTCAACAGCAAAGTTTGCCTTCCCTTTTTCTCTTGACATGAAGCTCGGGTACTTAGCGGTGGGACCTCAGAACCTGCAGAGAGCCAGGACCATCCAGGTGATCCACCCCTGCACCACCTCCTAGCAGCCTCAGCCAGGACCACGGGCAGATGCCCAGACTTACCATGTAATAGGCCAGGTACGGCAAGAGCAGTTTCAGCTTGTCTGGGTGGACGTTGACATTGGCTTTTACTGCATTCCAGGACCAGACTGGGCAGACTTCAAAGAGCTAAAATAATACATCATCACTTCAGGTATGTGCCCCTCGCTCACTTTCCTGACATGACATTGTCATGCCTTGACAAATAGTTATCATATCCGCCATTTACGAACTGCAGCTGTTCAGGACACCAAATATTCTGGTATCCCTATCAGAATAATCCAGCACTCCTTTTGTCTGATAGGTTAGAGAACAGAAAAATCAAATGCGTATTTGGTTACGGTCACAAAGGACAGCTGGTGTCCAATGGGAATTGAACCCGAAAGCCTGGTTTCAGAAGCCTGGTGTAATTGGACAGGCCCCTATCTCATTCTTGAGCAAGGTTAAACAGGAAATTTCACGTCACAATCAGAAAACCTTCAGAGAAGCCGGCAAGTAGTTGTGATCCCAACAACACCTGGGGGTTGTTGTACCCATCCCTAAGCAACAAGGCAAGGACTGTTTGCTTGCTGCCTGTGGCATGCACAGACATGCGGCTTTCTTGGGAACACATGAAAATGAAGTTGTTTTCTAGATTTTTGATGAGAATGGATATAGTTGTGTAAGGAGTAGGTCTTATTGTATCCCCAGCTCCCCAGGAGCACACTGGTAACTGTAAAGGACTGTAAAGTTTTAAAAACAAGCAGCTAAACTACCTCTAGTTGCCTGTTTTTAGAAGATCCCCCATCCTATGTGAGAGAAACCCTTCAGGCAGTGAATTACAAATTTGTATGAAAGTGTATTTGCTGCACAACAGGCTTCATGCTCTGCCTCTGCTCTACTGGAGTTAGTGGATATCAGTAGAGTACGTTGACAAAGTAAAATGGAAACACAGGTATTAAGATAAGTTTGCTTTGCTAAGTGTTAATGAAGGACTGCAGTGAGAAAACGAAAGATGTTTCTTGTGGGAGACCTTGCAGATTGTTCTCCTGGCACAAGTAACCTGGGGCCAGCAGGGCACAGGTCCAATGAACGTAGTCACAGGACGCACGGCATTGACTCTCCGTACTCTGAACTCAGCTCCAGCCCCCTGGAAGCAAGCAGAAAGCCACCCTCATGCATCCTACACCGCATGTAGTGTCCATGGGGATGTCGTATCTTCCCTAGCTCACCAGATCCCTGTCTTGCAATCCCCTCCCCAAGCATGCCCGTCTCTGTCGTTTCAGATCAAGAGGGCTAAAGCGGAACAAGGCAGCAGCTTCAGCAGGTGAAGGTCCCCTTTAGCACTGGGCCCACGCAGCACGTCTCCCCTGGACTTTGGTGCCAGGCAGCATCGCACCATGGGCACCATCCAACACCAGCAGCACATAAGGGGCAGTGCAGCCACCAACCCCTCCCCAGGGCCGGGGCTGCACTCCTGGCCCCACAGAGCCAAACTTCCCCCTGTCTCACCGTGCTCCCCATCCCCAGGTACCCCACAAACAGCAGCCACAGTGTGTGGGGCAGCTCCAGCTGGGGCATTTTTGGTGTGTGTGTGTGTGTTTGTGCTCCAGCTGCTGCTGGTTTTCCTGCTCATTCCAGCAGTGTAGGTGATAGGATTGTTTGTTGCTCTGGTATGGGGCAGAAGCAGAGCTGCTAGACCCAAATGCCCCGGCGTCCTTAGCCAGGCTCCCTCCCAAAAGTGATGGCCTAGCTTAGAAACTGTGATCAAAAAGAAAAAAAAAAAAAAAAAAAGAACAAATAAATAAATAAATACATACATAAATAATGATGCTCTGTTTTCAGCCTGCAGGGTGCAGTGGCACCACATTTTCAGTTCTCTGCAGTCATCAGGCTTAATAAACATCTAATTCCCTTGACTCTGACAGTCAAGCTTTAAGGAATACACCTGATTATTGTTAGGCTTGAGAGGAAAAGCCCTAAACCTGTGAGAGCAGGTGGCAGCACTGCAAAGGGAAATGCTTTAAAAGGGGACCCCCATGGTGTCATTTGTGTGTGTATGGCTTTGGTGGTGTTAATTTTTTGTGTGAGTTTTGGAGGCAGCCAATGTTTATAAAGCCTGAAATGCTGGATAAATTGAGAAAGGAAGTGCTGTCCACCAGGAATTAAATACTTTGGGATTGCTATAGCAATTATTTTTTCCTCATGTATCTTGGTATCTGCAGAAGCTTCCTGGCCTGAGGTCTGCTACCCATTCAGCCTTCCAATTTTCACTAATTTTTCTGTTTCATGCTGTGAGTGCTTCCTTCATCTTTCACGGGCAAGAGCAGCTGGGCACTGTAAGTACCTACACTAATACCCTGCTCCCTCTAGCAGCCCTTGGAAAAGGGGCAAGGTGTGCTTTGTTCTGCTTTCACTCCTACTCTGTGCTCTTCCACCTACCTCTTCAAGTCCCGTGGGAAGGGTTGGCAGCCCTGGGTAGGTGACTGGGTCTGAGGCACTCCAGTTCTTCACTTTTACTTTCCCTCAGGCTTTGTGTTGGTCCTTACCTTGCCAGCTGTTGCCCTGGTGAGCCATGGTACAACCCCCTGAAGTAGGATGTATCTGCTACAAATGATGTATTTTTGAAGGTTGTAGGGTCATGTGTGGTTTCAGAAGGCTCTGTAAGCTGTGACTTAACAGTGAGGTGAATATATAAGCACCTTACTGTGGGCTTATGTATTCTTCATGTATAAGTCAGTCCTCCTTAGTTATATTTCAATATTGAAATGTTGATCTCTGTGCTGTTCTAAGGTGGTAGTTCAGGAAGAGTATGAAAGCAATTGAAACCCAAGTTTATCCATCCACAGTACACCTACGTGTGGTTCTTGAGCTCCTCTTTCCTTCTGTACTTATTGTTGCATTTACTCTTGTGAAAGGATGTATCTGTTGTGTGGGTACTGGAGGTCCAAGTGGGTTGAAACATTCCAAAAATGTGACATGAGTGTGCTGTAAATTGCAAACACTTCTGTTTCCATTAGGATTTCATGGCATTTTTGGAATGATGGACTTTGACTGGAGTGTCTGGGCAGAATGCCATTTCAGGAGATATCACATCTATCTACCATCCAGCTGAAATTTCTTCTGTACTTTCAATTGTACATACTCTGTACCATGAGCTGTTAAGTTGATGCTGTGGTCCACCTCAGAAATGCTTCTATCAGGAAATAAAATATTTGTGGAGAAGAGCTGTAGCTATAAAATATGTTGGCCAAAACTGTCAGAAGTTTAAAGGTTATTTCTAATTGCCCTCTCTTGTGCCTTAGATACCATACGACATAACTCAGAGCTTCTTTTCTTCCAGGAACAGTAATGTTTAAAGTTCCTGCTAATGGGCTTATGAGCCACTGAAAATGTTGGTTATGGTGAGCAGAAACTCCTTCTGAAAATAGTTTGCTTGATGGAACTTTGTTCCAGTATAAACCAGAATGGACTTCTCAGCTCAGTTGTACCAGTAAAAATCCATATCAGCCCTGTGCAATGCCCAGATAACAGAGGGGAGACTATGCTTCATTTCCTTCCACATTATGTACTCTTTAGTCAGCAATGTTTTAAGGTGTAAAGACTCCAAATTACAATCGTATTTTTCAAACTTTTATTGCCACCCTCCAGAAAAAGTCTTTGCAAGGCCCTTCAGTCCTTGTGCCGTGCAGCTTCACCGGCTTTTTATCTCCCTCCTTTGAGCCGCAGCTTTTCCCCGCTCATCTTTGTAATCTGACATTGTGATTTGTTCACTTGTATGCTTGTTTTTCTCCTCAGAAGATTTGCTGAATCATTGGGGAGGAGGCAAGAGTTGTAGAGGCAGCTGGTGGCCAATGATAAAACCACGGCCCCATCCAGTCTTAATGGCTTGCAGATGACAACCCTTCAGTTGAAGGCCTGAGTCACATTCCCTTCCGAGCTAAGATTGCCGGGGGCTTCAGGTCCGAGGAAGTGTGGACAGGGAGGTGGTACCAATAACTTATTTTTAGGACACAAAATACATTGATTCTGACAACCACAGTGGCTGTGCTGCATCTCCTGTGAAGAAACTTCTAAAAATGCTGTGAGGAAAGCTTGCAGACTAGGGGGCTAAACCCTGCCAACAGTTGTATGTTGTGCCCTCTTCAGTGGGAACACATTTTTGTAATGTGTTAAAAACAAAGAAACACAGGGATGGGCCTTAAAATAGGTCATGATATTTAGTGGCTGCTTCCAGACTTGGGTGGTGTAGTGTGAGCAAAGATGTGCCAGGGCTCCAGGATGTTCATATACCTGATTATTCATAGAGAATGTACCAAACCGTACCAGAATTCCACCAGTATAACTGGTGACGTGAATTATGCATCTGTTTACGTC